ATTTGCATATTTATTCATACCTTCCTTTTTTTGTAAATTTTTTTTTTTAGTGGTTATTATTTTTTAAAATAATTTCTTAAAATGTCTTACGGTGCAATTATAATGCACCTGACTGTCTGTTTTTGAAAGGCACGTTGTTTCTTTCTCGTCGTCATCTTCTTTTTGAATGAAGTAGGGCCTAAACCGTAAACCCATTGATGAGCCGTAGTCAATATACATACAATATAATAGCAATATTAGGCCAATATACATACATTAGAGAGGCAATATTATGGCAATATAATGGCAATACGACAGCAATAGCATCACAATATACATGCAATATGGTGGCAATATGCATAAAATATGTATACAATACATAGGCAATATTAGTACAATACACAAGCAATAAGACAGCAATATTAAGTCAATCTACATACAATACACACATCCATTACAGACTACAATTTAGACATGCAAAATAAATCGCTACTGAACCCTAACAATTCAGACTACATTTTATTATCTTTAAATCTGTCGTCTAATACGTTCACAAGCTGTTATATAGGTTTTTGTTTCCTATGATTCTATACAATGATTTTAACTAGAAAACCAACTATAATGCTTTATTAACAAATATATATGCTCAAAAATTATTTCTTTCATAACACTTGAAAATTCAATTGTTATTACATAGTCAACCAATCTTTGCTCTATTACATACATACTTCCTACCTATAATTATAAATAATGGAGAGATCACAAATTCTACTAATTTGATCTTAACTTCATCAATTTGTTCTTCGGTGTATGAGTTAGCTCTCTCTTCTTGCATATTTTCCAAGCTGTTCTATTCTCCTCCCGCGTAGCAATATTAGCAACAACAAGTTATCTACATATCTAAAATCATAACTGCAGATGATTCTCAATTAACAAAGGGGAAAACCATTTTCTTTTATAACTTTGGTTCTGAAATATATAACAAAATGCAAAGACCTTTGCTTCTGAAAAGGAGCAAAAGTTTGTCAACCAATTCATAGTAAAAAAGAAGAAACTAGTGAACCTAACCAGAGAAATGCTAACCTGCAAAACCAACTCCAATACTTTAACCACAACATTAATACTTGAGATTTTCTTCTCATGGATTATGATTAGAGGATTTTCCAATTCCTATCAGCACATACACAAGTTTGAAGATAATCAGCATCAAGCAAAAAGGGACTTGAGAAAAAACCAAACAAGAAAAGACAAGTTGCACTTCAACATACTACTTTCAAACAGAGAAACAGAAGATTAACTAGTTCCGATTTACAAAAATCTTTCACTAGTGTACTACTTGCTAAAACTAATCAAGTGGCAGTTCATACGGCTATATATAAAAATAAACCCAGAACCAACATTTAACAATTGTTCAGTTTCTTAGAGCAAAGTCATACCTCTGCACCTGAAGATTTATCAGAGGGACCTAGCTTCCCACAAGCAAAGCACTGGTGCTGTTTATATTTACAGTTCTTGCAAAAGTAATTTTGCGTCGCCTACCAAGTTCAAAACAATATATACTATTCATGATCATGATATCAACGAAAAGAAATATATAGAATTTACAAAGTAAATATTTGACAGGAGCATACATCTACTTCATCCTTGGTAAAGCCAAGAGATTTGCAATCAGAACCCACAGCAGACTCTACAGTTGGATGAAAGGACCTTAGGCACCTCCCTTCACAACTGCATTAGAGCAAAATTGTAATTCACACCATAAATTATACGAAATTAATTTCTTTAGAGAATATATCCATCATAATCATAAGAATCAGTTAACACCATAGCATACCACAAGAGATCACCACCATCATCGCAGAAAGCACAGACAAAGCTAAATAGGCTATCAATGTCACTGGACTCATTTTCTGCATCATCAATCATATCATGTTTGATATGATCATCCACAAATATGAGATCTTTTGAATGCCCTGAAAATCAAAAGAATACACTTGTTCAAGACATTATAATTTGAACACAAAAGAATAAAAACAGAATTAATAAAACTCGGAGACAAAAGTCTACCAAAGGAAGGGAAA